GAGGGGGGACGGTAAGCTGGGACACACTGAGAGTGGCATGGACATATACCAAATGTAAAATCGATAGCTAGTGGGAAGCAACCACATAGCACAGGGAGATCAGCTCGGTGCTTTGTGACCACCTAGAAAGGTGGGATAGGGAGGGTAGGAGGGAGGGAGATGCAAGAGGGAAGAGATATGGGGATATATGTATATGTACAGCTGTTTCACTTTGTTATAAAGCAGAAACTAACACACCATTGTAAAGCAATTATACTCCAATAAAGATGTTAAATAAAATAAAATAAATAACTGCATAATATTCCACAGAGTTAATTTAGTTAATTGCACTAGAAAAAGAGAATAGCTCATTTAAGATTAATCCAATAGTATGGCACTTGCTTTTTAAGAGAATTGAACATTTTATATTTTCTATATAATGTGTATATATTAAGTATTAAAACACAGGTCATTTGGCGCCTAATAAGATTTAGACTCCTTTCCAACATCTTTTTTTAATTGAAATAAAGTAAGTAAAGCAAAGAGTAACCTAGAAAAGATGTGATTTTTTAATGCTACATAGTGACAAAAGAAAAGGTCTAACCTGAAAATCTGCTTCAATCAATAAAATGTATTTTTCCTGTCATAATGCCATACAATTTTTTTTCCAGAGCACTTCCATTAGATTAAAAATTTGAGCTATTAATCTATCATCACACTACACGCCTTGAAGAGTTTCTCTAAGAATTATGACAGATTTGAGCTAAATACCTATCTCTCTTTTCCAGTCTGTGGTATGGCCTAATGATATTCATTTTAACCATAGCTGGCAAAGATTAGGGACATCACTAATTTTCCTACACAGCTAAATATGTAGTTATGGTAGAAAAATAATAACTCCTATATACTTTTAGTGATAAATGCTAACTTATAAAATAATTACTATGTAATATATCCAAAGAGGAATAAAAATCTGCAAGGAGAATGACAAGAAAAAGTATATAACAATCAAATCCAGAAGATATCCCAAGTGGCCTAACATAAAAGAAAGAAAATTCTGGAAAAGTACATATTATTTACACTCAGCTAGTATGTTTTATACCTGATACTGTTAACGAGACAGGATTGTCCTACCAAAGGTCTGCTACGGAATATCCAGAGGACACATCAGGCACTGTGAGAAGAAGAAAATCATCTATCCAAATTTAACACATTCTAGGTGAAAATGTAATTTGAAACCTTCAATCTTTTGTTTCGAAATTCATAGTCATAAAGCAAGGCTGGTATTAAAATTCATTTGGCCTAAAGACAAGCAAAACTTCCTCACTTCTCAGCACTGCTGAGAGAAATTAAAGACAGACTAAATACTGTTAAGATGTCAATTCTCTCTCAAATAGATTCAACATCCCCATGATAATCCCAAAAGGTTTTTCTGAGGAAACTGATAACGCTGATTCTAAAATATATGGCAATGTAAAGGATCTAGTACATCCAAAGTAATCTTGTAAATGAAGAACAAAGTGGGAGGACTTACAGCAACTGACTTCAATACTTACTATACTGTGTGACTAGCATAAAGAGTGACAAGTAAATCAACGGAACAGGATAAACCCATATTTCTACAGTTATTTTATTTTCAACAAAGGCATCAAAACAATTCAGTGGACAAATAAAGTCTATTCAGCAAATAGTGCTGAAATAACTAGATATCCATAAAGATAAAGGAGAATGAACATTGATATCTACCTCACATCATATACAAATATTAATGCATAATAGATCATAGACCTAAACAAAACAGCTCAAATCATACAGTTTTTAAAGAAAAATATAAATAAGAGTATCTTCATAAATTGAGGGCAAAGGTTTTTTAGATGAACAAAGTAATAATCATAAAGGTAAAAACTGATAAATTAGACTTTATAAAAATTTAAAACCTGCTTATCAAAAGGCACTATTAAGCAAAAATGGTAAGCCTGGGACTGGAGAAAAAAAATTGTAAAACATACATCTGACATTGACTGGTATCCAGAATATATAAAGAATTCCAACAAGTCATCAATAAAAGGACAAAACAATCTAATTTTTTTCATCAGCAAAAGATGTGAACAGACTCTTCACCAAAGAAAATATACATGGCCAATAAGCTAATGAAAAAGTACTCAATATCATTAGTCATCATGGAAATGCAAATTAAACCACTCTGAGATATCACTACATATCCACCAGAATAGCTAAAATTAGCAAGACCAACAAATACCAAATGTTGATGAGGATGTAGAGCAACTAGAACTCTCATATATTGCTGGTAGGAATGTAAAACGGTACCACTTTTTAAAAGAAAATCTAGTAGTTCCTTATAGAACCAAATATACTATTACCCTAGTGACTCAGCAAAAAATCTATTCCTGAGTAATTATCCACAAGAAATAAAAACATGTTCACAAAGACTTATACAAAAATATTAACAGCAACTTTATTCATAGTATCCAAATGAAAGGAAACAGCCTAGACGTCCGCCAATAAGAGAACAGATAAACCATGGAATGTTAATCAGCAATAAAAAAAATTAACTAATACATGAAAGAATCTAAAAAATATACTGAGTGAAAGAAGTATTATATAAAACATAACGTACATATGATTCCATTAATAAGAAATTCCAGAACAGGAAAAACTTAATCTATAGCAGAAAAAAAATCATAATAAGGGTTACCTCTTGGAGGGTAGGAGCAGAGAGTGACTACAAAGAGGCATAAGGGAATTTCTTGATAGAGAACTGGGTTACGAACATTTATGCACTTTTCAAAACTCAGCAAATGTACACTTAAGATTTGTGCATTTCACTGTATGAAAATATTTACAGGTAAAGACAAAAAATTCTAAACTATTGAATTCTAGGTGATGGTATGCATGTTGAAATATTTATGGGGAAACATATTGATGTCCGCAATTTACTTTTGAAATGCATTCAAAAAGCAGATGAAGTAATGGATAGACAAAAGAAAGGATAAGGTGAAAAAGAGAGTAAAATGTTAATGATAAAATCTAGGTGGCGAGTATATGGGTAATTATATACTATACATTTAAAAGTTTTTATAATAAAATCTAAGAAAAAAAATCAGTCTATCCATGAGGGTGAACTATATCACAGACAGCTAAAGAAACTGTAAATGAATTAACACATTCATATGGGTTACATATTAAATAATATGAAAATATTCACAGTATTGCAGTTTTCTGGTATTTTTAATATTGGTCATAGTCTCCGAGGGCCAAAGGAACCTCTAGGTTGACTACCTAATTCCCAAAACAAAAAAGTTCTGTTACCAAACCTATAAGTAAGCAACCAACCAATGGTACAGTTACAATCACCTACCCTCATTGACTAGGCAGTAAAGAAAGAAATTATATAAAATTTCTTAACAATTTGAGAACCCACGATGGAGATTATAATCAAATGAAGACATAACACATATAAAAATACTGATGAAAGGCTAGCATAACAATGGGATATATCAACTCTAAGAACTCTTAAATCCTTTTCTTACACATTGAGCCTACCATTTTACGACTAACACTTACTATAATCTCTTCTATAAGACAGAAAAAAGAAAATAATTTGGAAAAGATTCAGGACAGTGTTTGTTAATAGAACCTTAAAAAGTAAACAGAAAAATCATTACTTAACCTTGAGAAGAAAATAATAGTCTTGAAGCACTCAATCTACAGAAAAAGTTATTCTCCATAACTTGAGTACAAATGAAGATTACATTTAAACTAAACCACAAGGGACTTGAGTTAGATATTAAAATATCTTTAACATAAGAGAGTGTCAAACATTAAGGAAACTCCCAAGGAAGTCTGTAAAATTCACCAATGTATTTATAAAAAGGATAGATAGAACCTTGACTATCATCAATAATAAGCGCAGTCCATACAACACTGTAAATCAACTATACTTCAATTAAAAAATAATAATAAGTGAGGTCCAACCTGTAGGTGTAGTTAGCCTCAAATTCCTCAAACTTAATTCTACATTATTATTTGACATTAGGTGTTTCAATAATAATTACAATTATCAGAACTTTCTTACTGCACAATGGAGAAAAAAAAGTACCCTACTAGAAAACAGAAGCATATACTTTATTTTAGCTTCCCTCTTTGGACAAACCTATGATATTGAAAAGAGATGAAATTTTGTTTTTAAGATTTTTTTTTTGACGTGGACCATTTTTTTTTAAGTCCTTAATGAATTTGTTACAATACTGCTTTTGTTTTTTATGTTTTTGTTTTTTAGCCCTGAGGCATGTGCGATCTTAGCTCCCTGACCAAGGATCGAACCCACACCCCCTGCGTTAGAAGGCGAAGTCTTAACCAATGGACCGCCAGGGAAGTCCCTGAGATGACTTTTTAAAACTCCCAAGTCTGTAATTTTTAACTAAAAACCTCACAGTTCCTGTGAGGTAGTGATCTTTTTAGATACTACCACAGGACAGAAAAATAGCAACAGAGATATCCCAGAATCATGTATACAGCTATCCTACCCGAAAGATAGGATCCTACAAACATTTTTTAAAGGAACAAAATTTTATTTATATTTAAAGTGTTTTACCTTGTGCTAAACAGAGTTAGGCATTTACTTTTTCATAAGACAACAAACAAAATCATATTTCTCCACCTTAAGCACAGGGTGGAAGTCAACTGAGCAAGAGCCAAAATTAACAATGACAATTTAACATTTTATCTGGGGAAAGAAGATGAAACGACCTATTTCCGAATATGCCCTTAGTCTAGAGGATGGGATACAATACTCCATATTCTAATGTGTGCATAGGAACAATTATTTCCTGTGTTAACCTTATGTAGTATAAATTATCCTAATCCTACTAGGATTAAGGTCATAATATTGATTACATCTTTATATTTTATACCACAGAATTTTAAAAATCAGATTGTTTACATGTATCTACTCCATAGACAGAGTAAATTATGTACGGCCTAGGGTTTAATGCACTTACAGTTCCTTGTGTTTCTCTTCAGCCAAGATTTGGTCATTCAGTTTAAGAGAATACCTGTTAACACAGAAACAAAAATATACTGGTCATATAAACATACGTTTGCCTCATGGACATCTGACTGTGATATCAACATACAGCCAGTTGACCCCTATCAAATAAACACTACTACACTGTTAACAGGTCTCTATCTTAATTGATAAAACATTTAAAACTGCCTAAGTTCTTTTTTTTTAGTATTTATTTATTTATTTAGGATGCACCGGAGGCACGTGGGACCTTCATTGCAGCATGCAGTACCTTTTAGTTGCAGCATGCAGACTTCTTAGTTGCGGCATGCACGTGGGATATAGCTCCCTGACTAAGGATCGAACCCAGGCCCCCTGCATTGGGAGCACGGATACCCACTGGACCATCAGGGAAGTCCCCCAAAGTGCCTAAGTTCTTTGATGGTCTATTAGTCACTTCCACAGACAACACCTCAAGAACTAAAGGGAGATGAACTTGATCATGCTTTAAAAATATGAGTTATCTTCAATATTCTTCTGTAGTGAATCACCTGTTACTTTCACCCATCAGTTCAAAATTCAAGAGACTACTACAATGTTAAGTATTTAATAGTTCACAAAACAATATGAAGTTATTCTTTTATTAAATACATAGCAAACATCTACGTGTACCAGACTATGTACTAGGTAGTGAGACATATGAGGAAAAGTAAGTTTTGGAGTTCTTGACTAAGCCATTTACTAGCTTAATGACCACAGCCAATTCTTTCACCTCTTTAAGTCTAAGTTTCCCTGGCTATAAAATAGAGGCTACCATAAGTATTAGAACAGGGATCTTCCAATATCATATATTTATACTATTGAAGGTAAACAGACTCTCTGAGGAGTACACTGAAGTAGATAAACAACAATGGACAGGTCTTCAATTTCCACTTGTATTCATTCCTTTCCTAAAACTAATCTGCCTGACAATGGATCAGAGGTCTAAACGGAGAGGTCATCCAAATTCTCCTTACTTGACTCCCCTTCCACAAGTCTTTACTCACTTTATAAAAAGAATGGCATACCTCTCGTCCATCCTGAATGAAACCGTACTGCATTGCCTAGATATAAAAATCTCTTAAGTATTAAACAAGGAATGATTCATAATATTTTGTCTGCAAAGCCTTCTTTTACTTAAAGTACTACAAACTGACTATAGGGCTTCCTGTTCTATAATTACTGTAAAGAATGAAGATAGAAATTAAAAATGAGTAATTGTGATAAGATGTTCTATTTTCAGATATATTATAGAATGGGGCAGAGGTTGGTTACAATTTTCATTTAAAAAGTTCATCATTTCTAGCCCATGTTCATCATCAAAGAATACATTACTTTTCAGGGAGAGTTCTGTGAAGCAAAGCTCAGAGAGTTTCTAAAAAGAACAAGAAAGACAGTTCTTCCAAACAACACACTTTTTTTTTCTTTTTTGTGGTACTTGGGCCTCTCACTGTTGTGGCCTCTCCCATTGCGGAGCACAGGCTCCGGACGCGCAGGCTCAGCGGCCATGGTTCACGGGCCCAGCTGCTCTGAAGCATGTGGGATCTTCCCGGACTGGGGCACGAACCCGCGTCCCCTGCATCGGCAGACGGACTCTCAACCATTGCGCCACCAGGGAAGCCCCAAGCAACACACTTTTAAAACAAGTCTCCTTGCCTTCCATTTATCTACCAAGGATTAAATATCAAACATGGTTGTCACAGGAACACAAATCAAATCATTTATTTGAACTGAAAAATAAAGTCAGACTTCTTAGATCATGAAAGTCAATGTGATTGTTTTGACAATGAAAGAACAGTTTTGCCAGCAAGGTTCCAAGGCAGGCAATGGCTTTAAACTGAATAAATGGCTTTGGTTAAAACATGTTTAAGGCAAAAAAAAAAAAAAAAAAAAAGTTTAAGGCATCTGATAAAAACACCTTATCAAAAAAATATCCTTTTGACATAGGTATACTGAAGTTAACAATATTTAGCTTTTCTCAATAGCTCCTGAACAATGCCTATAAGTAAAACACTAATAGATATAATTACTACCTAATATAATTAAATTAAGAAGACTTAATAAAGCCTTTTTTGGTATACATCCCAGAACTGCCTGTCTCTAATGACTCTAATGACCCTGGCAAGTCAGGTGGTTTCTAGTCTTTGCTTTCAACAAAACTGAAGAAGGACTTAATCAAATTACCAGCTGACAGATAAATAAAAATAATTTTGATGATAAATCATTTGATGACAGAAGAGTTCAAATAACTGAGTGACAACTACTGAAACAAAAATGTGCATTACCATTCAATTAGTTATGTAAACAAATTGCTCAGAATTTACACCTCTTAAAGAAAAAAGGGGGAAATAAAATTGATGCTGACCATTGTCTTATTGCAGCATTGAGTATTATTTATCTACAAAAGGTTGAATTAATTGAAAAACACTGAAGATCAGCTTCACCCATCTCATTCAAACATGCATTTCCAATAACTTATTTTCTTGTTTAATAATGATTTAACATTTTAGTACATTTATGTTGTTTTACTACCTATATGCTAATTACAATTTAAAAACTAGGAAATTTTTTTTAAACTTCACTTCACATATATATATGTTGCAGAGACATACAATAGGGTGATCAATATGCACGAAAGGCTTTCATGCATAAAAATATATTGCTTTCATAATGTATGCATAGTATATTACATGCAAAACATAATCCATGCATAAAAATACACCACATAAGGATAAAATCTGGAGGGGAAAAGTGTAATAGAGATATGAATTTAAACAGAGAAAGGAATATAAATTTTTTAAATGTTTAAAAAGAGCCTGTTTGTGTCTTTTTATAAATGAATAATGGTAGATATCAAACCACAATGGTATTTAGCATCCACTAAGGTGATTTATCAGTTTTATTTAACATTACAATATAAAAATCATAAATATTAACTTAATGAGTGAGGAAGTACTTGTTCTTCAAAACATTTTTATGGGGCTTCCCTGGTGGCGCAGTGGTTGAGAGTCTGCCTGCCAATGCAGGGGACACAGGTTCGTGCCCCGGTCCGGGAAGATCCCACATGCCACGGAGCGGCTGGGCCCGTGAGCCGTGGCTGCTGAGCCTGTGCGTCCGGAGCCTGTGCTCCGCAACGGGAGAGGCCACAATAGTGAGAGGCCCGCGTACCGCAAAAAAAAAAAAAACATTTTTATGGAAGTTAAAAAGTTTCAACCAGTGGATTTGATGATATCTATGCCTTAGCAAAGTGCTTGGTACATATAAAATAGGAACTCAATGTTACTTTCCTTCTTTCTCTAGCTGGTTAGTAAAAGAGAAAGAACAAACATTTCTTGCCCTTAAGGACCTCACAATTCAGTAGACAAATCAGAATAAAAGTAACTGCTCACAGTGTGATAAGTATTACAATAAAGTTAAGTACAATGTATAATGTTTATTATAATAAAGAAAAGAGGGAGTAATAAGTCTCCTTCATAAGAGAGTCAAAAAACGGACAGCTTTTATCTGTTGCCCAACTTTCTCTTCCTCTCCTATTTCATCTCTTCTTTGCTCCTTCCCCATGAACAACCTTCCCTTTTAAAGACTGAGGACAAGAATTTGAAGGGAATAGTGAAGGTGGCCCGTAATAAAGGTCCATAGTATAGGCAAGAAGCAGACTAGGATAGCCTAATTGTGATCAAATCACCCAAAGGGAAATTCTACTCTCCAGATTCACAGAGTACATCTTCAGGTCCTCAACAATAAATCTCCAAGATCCATTTTGCACTATCCTCCAGGCAAATTAGTTCTCTAACCCCAAACTTCAAAATGTTCAGTCTTCCCATAGTATTTCTTTCTCTGATCTGATTTTCCCCTGCCCCAAACCAGGGAATTTTCCATCAGATCTCAATAACCTTTACATTTCTCCATCTTTGCTGCTTTTTATCAAATTTATCTTGCTTATCTCTTCCTTGACTCCTGCACCTTTCTTCTTAAGAACCTGACCTATACATATACTACTGAGAATCAGCCAGACTGCTAGGTTTGAGGACACAGTTATATACTAAAAGGACTGCCTCAAATTTATTTCGGAAGTAGGCAAGATATAAATTAGAATTATAAATGTAAAAGTAAATACACCATCAGGTCCATAATTCTTACTAATGAAATGGAGCTATTTCTCACTGAAACATTTAATGTTAATGTTTGTTTGTTAAATGTTTGTTTAAATGTGGGGCTATAATTATATGTAGTTCTTATTTTCATTTAATGTATGCTGTTCTGCCAACCTAACTGCTGTTGGCAGAAAAAAAAGATACACAGCCTTTTGAATCTATTACATTTAACTTATTCTCTGAGTATTCAGTTTTAAATTAATAAACGTCAAAAGGAAAATTCAACTTAGTAGGAAGTAGAAAGTAGAGCGCTATACTTCAACTTTCTACTACGTCTTTCCCAGAATAATACAAAGCACAGACTATGTTTTAGTTGGGTTTTGTTTCCTAAAAACATGATTAAACAGATGTTCTGCTTTTATATCCATTTCTTGATTCGAACATGAACACAGTCCCTAAAAAAGCCAGAGACAGCAAAATGGTATAGTGGTAGTTCTCAACCTTTTTTCTACCTGAATTTACTAGAGGGAAAAGAAATACACACCAATCAGCAGAAAATGAGGAAGCAGGAGAGAGCACAGGGAAGGGCTCTCTTTATCCTGCCTCTAGTCAATGAAACTACATTAGATTGAAAGTCTAAGACCTGTGTCATTGTCCTGATTCTGCCATTAAGTAGACAAGCCATTTAATTTCTCTAAAGAGGATAAAACTACCTATGTGACAGGGTTGCTATGTGGATCAAAAAAGATAATACTTCAGGGGGCTTCCCTGGTGGCGGTGCAGTGGTTAAGAATCTGCCTGCCAATGCAGGGGACACGGGTTCGATCCCTGGTCTGGGAAGATCCCACATGCCGTGGAGCAACTAAGCCCATGTGCCACAACTACTGAGCCCGTGTGCCACAACTACTGAAGCCTG